TCTGGTGTTAGTGATAAGAGGAAATGCAAGCCTAAAGGGATACTTACTGTCGGTGAAAATGGTTGGGAGGTTGGTAAGGCCAAGATACTGAATGATTTTGACGAATTTGATGAAGGAGATTTTGGTAATGGTGGGAGTTATAGTAACGTCTCCACGATGCCTTTGCCTGCGGATGCATCAGTGTTCTGGCTTTTATCTCCTTGTGATGAAGAGATCGAACATGAGAAGGAAAAATCTGATGATGGTTACTCTCAGTTTCAGCAAATTGTTAAGTGTGTAGGCCATGAGACTCCATCGCCGCTATCAGATCGTAGTACTTCTTCAGATTTATGCAACATTAGCAGCGGCAGAAGTCTTTCACCCATGAATAGATGTAAAGAGACGATGAGAAGGACCAGTTCTTCGCTTTCTCCAAACGAGCTTTCTCGGTTCAGGAGATTTATGCACCTTTCATCCTGTGAGGGTGTAGCTTCAGCATTTGATGCTACCCCTAAGTGTGAGGTGGATCATTCTGAGCATTTGAAAGAAGACAACCCTTCTCCCTTATCTGTTGATACGTTGGGAAGCGAGAATGTTATTCAGACACCAGAATCCAACTCAAGCTTTGACAATTATTTCGGACTCTTAGGTTCCCTAGTGGAAGTCCAGAAGAAACGTGATGTTGGCTTAGATTTGGAATCACTGACAATGACTCTTGAGTCAGCCAGTTTGTCACCAAGGAGCCACGCCTCACCACGGGACCCGAGCGGTTCTAGTTTCAACTTTGACTATATGGCCACCTCTTCTGATTCCGTTGATCTTTCACAGTTTCAGAGAGCTTTTGTCGACAGGAGTTCTTGTCATTCTCATGTTACACAGGATAATGTGTCAAGGACACATGTATCATTGATAGAAGAAATAAATAGCCACATGCCTGAAATGAAACCCCAACAGAATACAGATACTGAACATGATACGCGAAATCACAAAGAAAGTGCTGCTCCTCCGGGAAAAGGAAGAGAATTGCTTCCATGCTCTGCTGCGGAGTCTATAAACACTGATGGTGGTGGTCTGATTTGTTCTGAGGATTCGAATTGGATGGCATGTTACAAGAATTAACTTCCTATACGAAATAGTTTTAGCATCGGTTTCTTTGTAAGTAGGTCCACGTTAGCAGGTAACTGAAGGAAATTTCCTTGTGTTATTGTGTTGTTTTTCTCTTGTTTACTTCACATTTTCCACTATAAACAGCAATTTTTTTATATGATCACATCAGAATATTTGAAATCCTTTACAGTCTTTTGATAAACCACTAAACTTTCGGGTGCTCAGCTCTCAAAGTAGAGGAGAATGGATTCACACGATAATCGGGGATTGCTATATTCTTGCTTTTTGGGTTCTTCTATAAAAGGAGATTGTTGTTTCAGCATCTTTCAATTGAAAGTTAGATACTTTACTTACCTTTCCTTTGCACCAAGTCTCTTGAGAATATTTGAAATTCTCTCATCTTTCGGTAACTCACTGAATGTTCTATTGCTCAGTTCTCAAAAATACAGGAGAAGGATTCACACGATTATTGGTATTGATGTATTCTTGCTTTTTGGCTTCTTCTATGAAAGGACATAGTTGTTTCGATATCTTTCGATTAAAGTTTGATACTTTAAAAACTTTTCCTGATACCTTTCCTTTGCTCCAGGTCGTGGAAAGAAAAAAAGCAAAGTCTTTATGGAGAAACAAATATAAAAAGGGTTCTTCTAAGCATCTCTTACTTATTACATAAACCACACATCATCTTTTAATGTCATGCTGATCAAGAGCCTATTCATTCTTTACATTTTCCACATATTAAAATATTTTTTGGGGAATTGGTTGTTGTTGATTGATGCAATAGTATATATGTTCTTGTTATCATCTACTTTTTCTTAACAATAACCGAAATATTATTAGTTATAACCAGGAAGAATGTCAGGCTATGCCAAGGCAACAACATACGGAAGAAAGAGCAAAGATGTTGATGAAGCTCGCGTAATTAACCAACCGAAACAGAGTGATAGGACTGGTAATACCATCATCTATACCCTTGTAGGGCTTTGCATTCTTCTCTGCATCTTCATCAGCATCAGTTTCTTTGTCATAACCAAGCCACTTAAAGCAAGCTTAACATCCGCGGCTCTAAGAAACCTCAGCTACAACGATA